GAAACTGGCCACTGCTCACAGCCTTTTTTCTTCTGGGAAAATGGCCACCTCTGATCTCCCCGAGCAGATCACATCTCTGTCATGTTTACTCTCATCCATGGCACATGGGGGGACTTGCGAAGAAAGTCGCCCCTGTTATACCCAGCTAGGAAAATTACAGCTAGGGCATTACCCAACCCTAAATCTGCAGTTCCTGGAACAGGGTAATGAACAAACATCCAGGAACAATTGGGTTTAAAATTCTAGCCAAATAAGGTAACTAACCCTGCCCGCCAGAAAGTGCCCGCCAGCAGCAGCACCCACCAATCAGGGACCCTCGCCGTTTTTAAATAAGCCAATAGCTAACCGCCACCTCTGCTTCTGTATGCCTTTGCTTGCTTGCTAGAGAATATAAATACCCAGTAGCCTGTAAGCCAGGCGCGACTTCCATTTTGTAGCTCTGAGTAGCTACGTGACTCTGATCACAGTTGGGGAAGTTCGCCCCTGTGCAGGAAAATCTTTGGCCATTAAAATTTTTATCAATTTGGTTCGGGAAGTTCGCCCCTGCGCAGGAAAATCTTTGGCCATTAAAATTTTTATCAATTTGGTTCCGGACTCCGAGAGTGTGTATTTACCCGCCGATCGTCTACAAAAGCCCCCACACCTCTCATCTGAGCCCAGCCTCTGCTTTTGCCTATCATTGGTCATGGCCTCTGCTCCTGATACCTTCACCTCCTGGTTGCTCTCTCTCCACTAGGAAGGACATCACCATTTGCTCCTTTCTGCTTGGCAGTACACCAGCTTCCTGAGGGTGGGAAGCATTCCTAGGAGCTTTCCCAGATCCCCCAGGGAATAACAGCTCCTCTTCTAATCATCATAGACTTTGGCATAGCAGGTTAGCCTGTAAGTATTGGAGGCTAATAATTGTAAGACTTTTCAGTATTGTAGCAGAAGATCAGGAAGGTAATTTGTGGAGGATGAGGAAGAAAGAAAGACTCACATGGCATTTCAGTCTTCTGATGCAAGTTTTTCTTGAATATCAGTGTGTTGCATACCCAGTTAAAGACTGGAGATGCCAATGAAATGCCCCTTACTCTCAAGAAACTTGTACTAGGACTGGGAAGGGAAGATCTATGCCATGTGACATCATTTCACTTAATGTGTGGTATTGACAGGAGAGGCAAGGTCGGTATGTGACATTTCACTTTTTTTTGGTTTAAACATTTGTTTTTAATATTCTGATTTTGTACTTGATATGGATGGTTTGGAAAAGTCTTATGGGAATAGTTTTTTGGTTTTTGTGTTTTTACCTTTCTCTTATTTCTTAATTTTTGGGTTAGGGTGGGGATGGTGGTTTTCCAAATGCTAGTAATGATAATTTTAGCAAAAAATATTTTAAAGGAAGCGTTTTCATGTAAATCTTCAATTGTTTCCCATTATACCTAGTGTAATCCATTCATGCCTTTAGCCATCCATTTATAAGTACCCACTGAATGCCACACTTACTTATGGTAAAAATGATCTTGGGCTCTTCCCAGGAAGTTCAGTGTCATGACTCCGAACATCAAAGCCACAAGTAATGCACTGAGAGATGTTCAATGAGACCAGATGCTCTGCTCTACTCTGCTGTGGTTGCCATTTGTTCTGAAGGCAGGTATGCTCTGCTAAGTCACTAATCTGTCTTCCTTTAGAAGGCGAGCAATGGGAAATTCCAGGAACCATGTGTAGAGAGCAGTGTTCTTGGACTAGGAGGCATCATGTGCATTTTAAAAGTTTTGTAGCACCTATTAATATTAAAACATCATCAAAGTTACAACTAACCTGGATCTTACCAAAGCAGCTCCAAACAATTTTCCAGTAAATATTTACATAGGAGAGCTCTAAATATTATACTAGAAGCCTTTCCAACCACAAAAATGTTGGGGGTTAACTATTAGAACAAAGGAACTGAGTAAAGTTAATAATCCACCTTCCTTTCAGCAAAATACAGGTATTGTTGTGTCCAGAAGTGATGAGAAATGCACGGGATAATGAACTCAGAGAGCCAGGTACAAAGGAACAAGATGTGTTCCATGGATAAACTCTGATTAATCATGACAAATCCTCTTCATGATGAGCCATTTGGAGGTAGAAACACATCTACTTAGCATTTTTAAAAATAATGTTCTTTCCAATATAAATGTCTACTTTTATTTTAATCTCCTTCCTCTTTTCTGCCAACCTCCCACCCTCTGCCCTCTGGTAATCATCAGTTTGTTCTCTGTATCTATTAGTTGTTTTTCTTTCTATTTTGTTTTGTTTGTTTGGGTTTTTTTTAGATTCCACATATAAGTGAAATCATACAGTATTTGTCTTTTTTTGTTTGACTTATTTCATTTAACAAAATACCCTCTAGGACCATCCATGTTGTCTCAAGAGATACACACACATATGCTATATATACAGCATATGTATACACACACACACACATATATATATATATATATATATATATATATATACCTTTATCCATCCTCTTTTATATCTGAGTAATATTTCACCGTATATAAATATCACGTGTCCTTTATTAATTCATCTTCTGATGGACACCGAGGTTTTTTCCACATCTTGTCTATTATAGATGACACAGTAACAAACATAGGTTGCATATACAATTTCTAATTATTGTTTTAATTTTTAAAAATAAATAGCCCAAAGTGGAAATGCTGGGTTATATGGTAGTTCTATGTTTAATGTTTTTTGAGAAATCTCTATGTTGTTTTTGATAACATTCTATGAAAATGTCAATTTTTGAAAATTTGGAAAATCCAGGGAAATAGAAGGAATAGAAAGCAATTCACCAATTTACTTTGACTTTCAAAGCACCTAGGATGTTTTAGGAGTTTTTTCTGGTGTTCGTTATTATTAAACTGAGAGACTAGGTTAAAAAATAATTATCTAATAGATATTTAAATGGATCTATGGCTTTATTTTATGTGAGCCCACGACAACATCTTTCAGATTTGGTGAATGTTCTAAAGGAGAGTAGGATATGATGAGTAAACCAAGTAAAACCCTAGAGAAACTGAGTCTAGGCCTATTCAATGACTTACACAACCAGTTGTTTTCTAATCACTTTAGCCAGAAATACTGAAACAGCAGTCATATCAATAAGAAAAAATAGGACAGGAATATGAAGTGTAGATAATCTTACACTCAGCATACTCACTACTGAAACGAAGGCTTTTATTGAACATAAGTATTCTTATATTTCAGAGGTAAACACACACTATGCTCTGTTGATCTGATTATATAGTTATTTTTAATGAAGAGTGATTCTCTGTGACAAATGCTTTTCTTTTTAAATAATATTCTGTCATTTCACAAACATACAATTTGACCCACGTAGAACTGTAGTTAAACCTTCTAATTAAATTCCTTCAGACCTGCCTGTTCTCAAGGAGTTGACATATATCACTGCAACATGAGTCACCTGCACAAGGGGGACATCATCCCCACAGCCCACCACAGTCCCTGTCCAGTTGCTTATCATACCATGTCAGAATGTACAGTAACTCCCAGCTGGTGTTTTCTACAAAGTCTTACAAATATAAAACACTTGAAAGATTAATGCAACAAATCCATGTAGGTATGTCCACCACCCAAAATTAACAAGTGTTAACATTTTATTTCTAGATATGTATGATATATATATATACACATATTTAATAAAGCAAAAGGAAATTGAATATCATGGATAAAATCAAAGTCCCTTTTTATCTGTACAGGTGGTTAAAACTGCAGCATATGAAATTTAGAAGACACAATTCAACCCACAGCAGCTGTTTGCATGCTATAACACCAGAGCTGAGTAATGTAATAGAAACCATGTAGTCTGCAAAGTCTAAAATGGTCACTCTCTAGCCTTTTACAGCAAAAGTTTGCTGTAGAGGTTTGGTGTTTCTTGCTATAAGCAAAACTGTTTTGACATGGAAAATATTCAAAATATATTCTCCTGGTTCTCTGAGCTTCTTAGAACATTCACAGTCCCACTCTGGAGCATGTGGGACTTCCAGAGCCCTGGCTTGTGCCCTGCAGGCAGTGGGGCCAGGAGCCTACTCCAGACCCAACAGTCCAGTCACACCCTCTGCCAATAACCCATGCTACTGTGTTGATGTGAAGTCCATGTAGATGTGGACCCTTCATGGCCTTCCAGTTGGAAAATGAGGCAAATACTCCTCTGTTTTCAGTTTTCCTCAGAAAATATCTAGCCTGCGTCCATTCTAAACTTTCAACCTGCAGAAGGGAGGCCAGGACACATGTATCTGTTCTCTTGGTTTCTTATCCATTAGGATGGAAAGGGTTAGGTTTTCATTTCTCCCTCAGAATTAGGGAAATCCTCTGTGTCACAATCTACTCCCATTCAAATAGCTCAAACAGGGCATCTGACAGTTAGGCAGGACTTTTCAGAGGAGGTTAATGGCATTAGGAGGAGTCACTTGGATGGTTACAGCGGATGAGTTATAAAGTGAAAACTGGAGCTGGAGAATCCTAGAGAGAGATTGTAGGAAAGTTGTTTTCAAGTTACCCATCCTGGACAGGACGTTTGGCAAACAGTATAGCACAGTGTAGTATTCAGAGTGAGGGTTTGGAATGTGCCCCATATACCAGCTTTGTGACTTTGAGTGAGTTATACAATTTCTTTAAGGCTCAAATTTCTCACTTGTAAAGTGAGGGATCATAATGGTACTTACCTCAGTAGTTTGTTGTGTTATAGGAAATACTGCCTATGAATGTATATCAGGCACTAGGCAAGCCTTCAAGGACAGGGCCGTCACCATAATCAAGGCTGTCATGAAATTCTCAAATATTACTGTTGTGAGTACAGAGAGGGAAAACCATCTGTAAGTACTACTCAAATATATGGTGTTATGCACTATATGATGTTAGGCTGGGTAGGTTGGAAAAAGTTGGAGGGTGTGGCTTTGTCTTCACTATGAGGCATTTATGAAGTAGGAGTGAATGTAGACAAAGAACCAGAAATGGAAAGTGATAAAGCTGGAGCCCCAGAAGAACTGAAAATGAAACCAGATAAACAAGCAGAAACACATGAAGGTGATCCTAATGGTAAGAGGGAGGGAAGAGTATTGCCTTAAGGGACCTATGTTCTTATGGAGTAGGCAGTAGTGTAGGACTAAGCCGAGAAAATTGTAATTAAAATCTACATAAAGGATACATGTGATCACATGATGCTTGGCCTTCTGTTGAATGTGATTATTTAAATTAATACTACATCATTCATAAGACTACATTTGTGGGCTCTAAGAATGACACAAGTCTTCCGTGAAGTATATGATCAGAAATTTTTCTTGTTTCTTCTTTTGCATTTTACTTTTTTGTTCAGAGAGTCCACTATCACAGGTTCTGTCCAGCCATGTGACTCCCCTGATACCAGAGTTCTTGGATCCAGCCCTCACCCAGGAGAAGGCCTTCGACCATGACAGCAACAAACAACACACACCTGCAGAGGAGTCCAAAGTTCCACAGCCAGAGGACACGTTCCTCCCTGAGCAAGGTAGTGACATCTCCAGTTTCTCAGCAAAAGTCATGCAACCCAAGGACGGTGATACCCCCAATACCTCAACAAAAATCATCCCACCTAATCAGGGTGACACACGCAGTTCCCCAGGAAAAACCATCTTGTCTAAAGAAGGTAAAACCCCTAATTCCTCAGGAAAAAACATTCTATCAAAGCAGGTTGACACCCCTAAATCTTCAGCAAAAAACACCCTGCCCAATCAGGCTGACACCTACAAGTCCTCAGCAAAAGCTATCCTGCCCAAGGAGGTTGATACCCCCAGTTCCTCAGAAAGCAACACCCCACTCAAGCAGGATGACACTCCGAGTTTCTCAGAAAAAACGATCCTGCTCAAGCAAGCTGACACACCCATTTCCTCAGCCAAAACCATCCAGCCAAAGCAAGACACAACCCCCAAGCTCTTGGCAAAAACCATGTCACTTACAGAGGGTGATGTCCCTAAATCCTCAGAAGAAACCATCCATCCAAAGCAGGGTAATACCCCCAAGCTCTCAGCAAAATTCATTTCACCCAAGGAGAGTGACATCTCCAACTCCTCAGAAGAAAACATTTCACCAAGGCAGGGTGACACCCCCAAACTTCCAGAAGAAACCATCCAACCCAAGGAGGGTGAAACCCCCAAGTCCTCAGAAGAAACCACTCAGCCTGTAGAAGGTGACATCCCAGCAGAAGAAACAGTGGAGCTCTTGGAGGTTGACATGGTGAAAGTGATCCTGAACAAAGAGGATTTTGAGTTGGCGCTCAAGGAGGCCGGAGAGAAGCTAGTGGCTGTTGACTTCTCAGCCATGTGGTGTGGGCCCTGCAGGGCCATCAAGCCCCTTTTCCATTCCCTGTCTGTGAAGCATGAGGATGTAACATTCCTGGAAGTGGATGTTGATGAGTGTGAGGAGGTGGTGAAAGACCATGAGATCACTAGCATTCCAACCTTTCAGTTTTACAAAAAAGAAGAAAAGGTGGGTGAATTTTGTGGCGCCCTTGAGGAAAAACTCAAAACAATCATTGAAGAATTAAAGTAGTGCATTCTGAAAGCATTGCAAAGAGTCAGCTGTTTATAATTTGTGATTTTTTGTTTATAAAAAAGAGGTATAACAAAATTGCATGTACAAATGGTACTTATTATAAATTATAGATATTAACTGGGGCCATTTCAAAAAGTAGTCAAAGCACTAAAGTATATTGTGATCATATTTTTCTTGATAGAAAAGTATGATATTAGAATTTCCTTTGGTGGAGATTGGAAGTACAGCTGTCTCCTGTTTTTCAATCTCGATTTTTTTTTTTTTTTTTGCTGACTTGAAAATGGAAAATTCAGCTCAATTTTTGTCAGCAGAGATGTTGGAAATGTAGACAGTTCTGTAGAAGTACATGATTTAAAAGTGGAAGGTTCTCATGTTCACATATATTTGGGGTTTCTGATATTTTTATAAGAAAAGAATCTTCAAGATTCATATATCATATCTAACCTTATGCGGGGAGTGCTATGGAGGATTCAGGAAGTCCTATGAACCTGCCAACTGAATTCATTGGTGGCAACGCTGAGACTAAGGCCGTGGTTCCAGATTTCAAGTCCAGGTCCCTTTTTACTAATAAATGCTCACAAAGCAAGATTTGTGAGCTAAGGGTAAGAGCTTTATTATTGAGGTTTAAGTCACTGTGTTCCTTGGCACCATTGTGACATCAGCTCCCTGCTGGCAAAGTTCCTGTTTTGTGCCGCTGGTAACTAGGTTCCTGATATCTTTTCCCAGATGTTTCGGAGCCCAAGGCTCATAGATGGCCCATAGATGGTGGCTTGGTCTGTCCAGTGAATGCCTAAAACTGCAGATAGTACTGAACCCTCTGTATACTCTGTTTTTTTTTTTTCTATACATACATACCTTTTCACTTAAAGGCTTGTTTTTGGCATATTGATTGCCAGTATTATTACTCTTGTGCTTTGGGGCTATTATCAAGTAAAATAAAGGTTACTTGAACATAAGCACTGTGATAGTGTGATAGTTAATCTAATAACCAAGTCCCTACTCAGTGACAAATGCAAAGGGACCATATAAATCAAAGCTTTCCTGTAACTAGGCTCCTGAATGAAATTATCTGGGACTTTAAGTTTGAGACATTGAACAATGGGTAGCATTCTTGAAAATATTTTTTATAATGAATTCAGAAGAAATTTTTATAGGGATATTCCTGGAAATAATCATTCATAGAAGCCAAAGCTGTGATCATAAAGCACTTCCCCATTAGAGGATTCTAGATTTAGTGTATCCATTGCTTTTGTATTTTACTAATGAGTCACACAGCTATTGTTTGTTTTGCTTTGTAAAGAAACCTTCCTCTGACTTTTTCAGTTTTTCTATTTTTCATAAGGAACAAGCCTAGTGTTGATATAAAACTATCTGCATAGACATTTAGGCCCAGACTTCAATAAATTAATCCAAGCCTTCTGCTATCAGAGCCCCATTTGTACAACTTAGTGAGCCACACAACACTTTAGATTATTTAATTTTAAGGACCAGGGACCCTGAAATCTAACATGAATGAATTACACCATTTTTTTCTGGGACTGTAGTATTGAAGACATTTCTATTATAGGTTTTTCTTTATATTGAAGTTACTAAGTGATAACATACACAATGGCCTAAAAAATCCTTTTAAATAATTGTAATAGATTTTTCAGGTGATTTTATACTATTCTGGATATAAGTCAAGGAAGGGAGACAAAACACAACTTTGCCAAGGGAATTCTGCTGGGTGAGGAAAATGGGGAGCAAACAGTGTGGCTCTCTCATGATCTATTTGGTCCAGGGATGGATAAACTACCAGAGAATCAATTCATGTCCTTCAAACTATCCACAATAAGCAACATTTCTCTTGATTTTTGGGATAATAGTCAAATGGTAGCCAGTCAAATTACATTCAGTCTCTGGCTGAAAGCTTGAATATGAACATTCTATTTTGCCAATTAAGACAAATCATGCACTTAAATAAGCCCAGCAATTGTTTTGACTTCTAATATGTAACATGAATTAGAAATAAGCATTTATAATGAAAAGGAAGATTCCAAATAATCAAATTGGCTGTGAATGATGATAATCTTAACTAGAACCTTAATAAAAGTCAATGGAAAACCTTGTATCAATTGATAAGAGAACTCAGCAAAGTGACAGTATTCAGAGTAATAGCCAAAAAATCAATAGTTTCCTTTTGGTTCAGTGGCAAATAATTGGGAATCATTATGGGTAAAGGTCTCATTCTCAACAGTGACAAAAAATATCTAACAACATTCCTAAGCAGAATGGTAAGGATTATTAAAACTAAATGTAAAAGTTCTGAGAAGTACATAAGAAGAAGCTATGAATAAAGTGCGAAACAGTTCAAAATTCCCATTACAGAAAAAACTTGAAAGATATTGATTTTTTTACTTCATTTAGTAGACAGAATATAATCACAAATCCACATCTCGATGACATCATTGAGAGAACTTTACTAAATACTTAAATATTTACTGAAAATCATTTTCAACAGTAGGTAAGAAAAATTGTTAACTGAAAAGTAAGAGCCAGCTTCCAGTTAAGATGTCAGCATAGGTAAACAATAATTTGCCTCCTCACACAATCACATCAAAATTACAACTAAAATATAGAACAACCATTACTCAGAAACAGCAGAAATCAAGTTGAACGGAAAGTCTGACAACTATGCAATTAAAGAAACCACATCCATACAAACTGGAAGGAGTGGTAGAGAGGTAGAATGTGCTGGTCCTACATCCACATTATTACTGGAAAAAAAATTCAGGACAGAGATCTTGGGAATGAGGAGTCCCCAGCCCCACACCACACCTCCCCCCAGGGTTCTAGTGCCAGGAGAAAAGTCACCATAATTTCTGGCTGCAAAACCAGCAGAAATTGAGTTGGTAGAAGAAACTTCTGGAGTCCCAAGTAGTCCCCCTTAAAGAACCCACACACGGACTTACTCAGACTCACTCCCTCTGAGCTCCAGCACTGGTGTAGTGGTTTGAAAGGTACCAGTGGCATACAAGGAGGAACTGAAGTGTTTGCCATGAAGGTTGGAGTTGGGGGACAGCTTTCTCCCAGACAGAACATCAGGGAGAGGCTACTGTCCCCTTTCTGAAATTTCCCAAACAGAGCCAAAGATCTGCCAAGTGGGTGCCATATCTGAGATTCCATCAACCTAGCTAACACTGTTTGCCCAAACCTGGAGATCCCATGAGACTCCTCCCACCCAACTTATGGCCTCAGCCAAGCTGTAAACTGTGAGTTTTCCATATGAATGGCTGATCTTGGCTCATGCTTCACAACTTCCAAAATCCTACTAAACATGCAACAGCTGGCCTCAGTAAGCTCTCATACCTCTTAAGTGGCCCCAAGCCCAGCACTAGCAGCAGCCAGCCTAGGTTCACAGCTTGGCTTTGCCTGGGAATCTCCAAACCCAGTATAAGTAGCAGCCATCTCAGAATGCTTTATAGCTCATGCAGGGTAGCCCTGAACAGAACACTGATGGGGGCTGACCTTGGCTTCTATCACTCAGGAAACTCCAGACCATGTGCACCCAGTGGGCAGCTATAGACCATGAGCAAAACCACCTAGCTCCTGCATAGGTGATCCTCCACAGAGGGTAGAGGACTGGCTGACTAGCCTGGGTATGTTTCTCTCATTGACCTTCCAACAGCAATCAAGGCTCAACTACAAGAGGAACCCTCCTCAGCCCACATGAAGGATACACCTCGAGTAGCCAGCTTGGGTGATAGGGGAGGCTGTGCTACTAGACCCTGGAGGACACCTACTGCATTATACTATGCCACCAAGACAGGAAGTCATAGAAGCTCTACTAATATGTAGAAACAAACACAGGGAGGCTGCCAAAGTGAGGAGACAGAGAAACAAGGCCCATATGAAAGAACAGATCAAAACTTCAGAAAAAGAACTAAACAAAATGGAAATAAGCAACCTACCAGATGCAGAGTTGAAACACTGGTTACAAGGATGCTCAAAGAACTTAGTGTGGACCTCACAAGCATAAAAAAGACCCAATCAGAAGCGAAGCATACACTAATTGAAATCAGAACAAGGGATCCAAGATGGTGGAGGAGTAAGTGAAAGCTACACCAACCTCCTCCCAGAACCAACTGAAATTACAACTGAATTATAGAGAAATCATCCTGAATAACTGACTGAACATCAGCTGAAGAGAAGCCTTAAAACCATGGACAGACAGAAGAAAACACTTCAGCACAACATGACTGGCAGGGAGTGCAGAGGAGAGGTAAGAGGGCTGGCAGGGCTTCCACTGGTGTAAGCTGAAGTTCTGGAGGAATATTTTATGGTTGGGGGAGTTCTCCCTGAGAAGTGTGGGGTCTAAACGCCAAGCTGAGCTCCCCAGTATATAGCATGAGAACCAGAAAGGAACCCAGATAACAACCAACTGTGAAAAGGAACCCCATCAGGGGTTCTGTAGGCCAGGGAGAGACAGCTGGTGAAGTGGAGAGCCTTTTAAAGGGCCAAAGCACAAAATTTCATTTGCAGCCACATACCCTGGGTGCTGGCAAAGGGAGGGCAGAGTGGACTAGAGATGCTTGAGGAGAGTCTAGGGTTGGTGACTCTGTGGATAAAACTGAAGGAAAAAACACCAAGATTTGTGTGCTGAGTCATTCACCAAAACATAGGAGCCATCTCTCTCAGGCAGAGCACTTCTCTCTGAGTGTCATCAGCCTGAGGGGAAGTAATAGCCCCAACCACAAGAATTATTTGGCCCCACTCTGAGGTGCTTAAGACTGATTGCTAGTTACAGATAGATTCGATTTATGACGGATCACTTTAATAGCTGATTAGTTTAACATCTAAGGCAGAAAATACAAAGCAGCAGCCAAAATGGGAAGACAAAGAAATAGACCCTGGACTTCCAGCCAAGATGGAGGCATAGATAGACACACTGTGCCTCCTCAGACAACCAAAAGAAAACAACAAATTTAAAAGTAAAAAACAACCAGAACTGGCAGAAA